GGGTGGGGGGCTTTTACATGTATACACGTTCAGATATCTTCAGTTACATTTATATATAAACGAACTCCTGGTTTAAAACTTCCCAATTAAACTACTGTGCTTTACTGTGAATGTGATAGTTTGTTTATTTAGGAATTAAAACTGATACAGGGAAGACATAGTGTACTGCATAAGAGATGATTGGAGGAAATAAGGACATTCACTGTTACAGTAAAAGGTCGTACATGTACCATTATGTAGTCGACTCAGATAGGTTTACGTAGACTCGCCAAATCTAATTATCTCGTAAAACGTAAAGGTAGGGTATTATGTTGAACTTTTTTTGTGTCCGTTTTATGTTAGTATGTGATAAATGAAATTCACAGTTGAACGATTTCTTGTTGTATGTATACTAATCTATGTTAACAATGAGTTATCAACGTCTCTCGGAAATCAGTGCATATAAAATTTGGACCACAACTCTGTTTGTGTCTGTTTTATGTTAGTTTATGTTCAAGTAAATTCACGGTGGAATGATTTCTTGTTAAGCTTAATTCCAGCGAACGTATAGTTATCAGAAAATTTAGAATGTCGAACTTCAAATTACCCATTGAAACTGGTAGATGGGTTGGTATACCACGTAATAATCGTACTGGTTTGCTATGTAATAATGGTATTGGGGATGAATACCACTATCTAATTCAATGTAATAATGCTACGATAACTAATTATAGACATAAATACATCGCACATTACTTTTATATAAATCCAAGTTTAGCTAAAATGAGAGGTATGTTCGAAATTTGTAATCGACCCTTATTATCCAGAGTGAGCTACTTTCTTAAAAATGTAGAAAACCTATGTTGATCACACGGAATTGAGTCATACAATTGTAGTTTACTCTAAAATTCCATAAATTTGTAATTTTTTTACCTTGATATGCTTATAATTTGCAATTAATCATTATTATTCTTGAGTGAGTTTCTTTAATGCGTATTTAATATGTTACAATGAACTTAGTAACTGTATTACCCTGTCTGCCGTGTAGGTTGTTTTGAATTGTTGACCACTTGTTACACACACAAGTGTGTCAAGATATATACTCATATACGTTAACAATGGGTACCCATCGTCTTCCTGAATTCAGCTCATATATATAAAACCTGGATAACAGTCATTTGACTCGATGTTTTATGAAAAACCAATCACTCATAAGTTACAACAAGAAAGTATGTTACGGAAAAACGAATTAATATCCTTTTAATATGAATTGTTATAATATTTCAGAGAAACTACAAGCTTGGAGTCCACATTTAATTATCGATTATTGTAATAACTATGTGAACGATGGTACGTAGGTGTGTTCAGCTTCTGTAAACTAACCGATGTCAGTTTGTGAGACTAACATATGCCATTGTCATAAAGCACGTGTCAGACATAATTTATATCTTACAAAACAAAACAAAAAGGAATAATAGTTTAGTCAATGAACGGTTTAACATCAAATGGATTGCAACAGAATGTTTTAACATTGGTGACATATGGAAATCAATTACAAATGTAATATTTCAATCAATAGGTCATAACACTATTTTGCCATTGAGATTAACTACTAACAGTTTTTTTTAAAAGGCGACAAAAACCAATACCATCGACTTGAATATGCTTTTAAGCCATATTGATAGCTCTTAATTCGATGACACTTTTAGACAAATTTGTATAGATGTATGTTGGTCTTGCTATATTTGTAATTTTCATTATTAAATGTTGAGGATCTTACAATGTAAAGTGTGTCAAATACTTTACTTTCATGATCTTCTTGTCCCCAAAGATGATGAACAGATACTACTGATGATTTTGGAAAACTTTTTTATATTTCAATTAATGCTTCATTGAGCTTTGATACAAATGGATCATGTCAGCATACTCGTGTGTTATATATGCTCATTATATAACTCCATATATAATTTGACATTTGTGATAATTCGACAACTAACGATGCGTAATTGAGACTGTAACCATTGTCCATATTGGTTATAATGAATCTTTTCATCACGTATTTGAACACAGGGGCCAGTCACATTGTATTATGGCTGTACTAATACTACAATTTAATAATATATCTACGGCCTATGATTATCAATTATAGACTTATGATCGGGGGACACATTGTGATGTAGACCCGATGAAATGGTATTAACCGCGAACGAAGTCCGAGGTCAATATCACGTCTATATTCTAGTATGTTAACTAAGCATCCTAACAAGTCCCTGTGATTACTTCGATGTGATTCCCGTGTGTACGGTGTATATGTATGATTACAATAAAGGAGGACGTTTTCCTTTCCGTACACTTCAGAATGACACAGCACGCATGGTGTCTGATCTGTGGCCGAATTCTACACATCATGATCCCAACAAACCTATACTGTAACAAATTCTCATGTCCCTGTGGTCTACAATAGCAATGTCCGTACCTTTCGCTAGGATCCATTGATCTCTATACTGTACCACCAATCTTCCTGTGGCAATCAATTACCGCTATAAATGACGTAAAGCTTACCATTATATACATCTAGTTATTCTAATTAATAAGCTTAATAAATGGCGGATATGCAGGGTTTTCTGACCAACAAGACTGCCCCCAGCCTGGGAATTTCCTTTAAAACCCTGTATTATTTCCATCACTTTTCAGTTTGAATTGATCTATTAACACATGCACCGGTACCATCCTTAAGGCTGAGTTTTCTATTTAATTGTTATGGTAGATAATGCCACGGCCTATTCAGTAATCGGCCTTAGCCTATGCCACGGAAAGCGGGGTCATTCTGCTACATTTCCTCCGACTCTGTGTTACAACGTACTAAACAGCAGCGGTTCAATGTCCTTAGGCAGATAAAACACCGCGTATTATAGGTCCTTGCTATCAACTGCAAGACGTGCTTCTCATTGATTGATCAATTGATTGATTGATTGATTGATTAATTGATTGATTGATTGATTGATTGATTGATTGATTGATCAATTGATTGATTGATTGATCAACTGATTGATTGATTTTGGATGCTTTAGGTCTCTGTTCCCATTGTAAGGACGCCTGGTACCTTTAACATAAGGTAAGATCTTAAAATTTAGAGGGTGCGTAACCGCCATACGCACGAGTGACCTATTTTAGAAAATAATGTCAGTGTCTATACTCCTGAAATCCGAGTTCAAAATTTGATAAATTTCACAATAAAAAGGGTCAGATATGGTGGGTGACTAGGGACATTTTCCTTTTTCGCATTTATTTTATTTTATAAAGCGCCGTTATCGGAGCGATAACGGCGCTTTGTAAAATAAATTGCCGCTTTTTCGCCTTTTCATGAAACCCCCAAATAAACGATAAAGCGCCGATTTGTCAAACATAATGACGTCTTTAAACTTTTCCCAAAAACGTGAAAAAGCGCCCAAACGCCGTTTATGAAAATAAAACAGCGCTTGAAATCGGCTGTTCATACGTCATAAAATCAATAGCTAAAAGCTGTTACCATGTGTGAGATACAGTCGGAAAGAATTTTTAAAATAATTCTTCTAATAAAAACACAATAAAGGCAGCCGGTTATTCAGAAAACAAATACAAAAACTCTTTAAAATATTTTTGTATGTATAATTCAATATTCAAATTCCACTCAATCATTTATTTGTTGATTTCGTTTTCAATAAAATACATTGTCTGTATATCGTAGTCTATATTGCATATTAACGGAACTCTACATCGTGCTATAAACGACAGGCAATGATCTTAAGTACGTCTTGTACGCTTTACTGAACAACCATCGCCTGGACTCGAAGAGATGGTAGACTGTCCCTGTACAGTGACGGTAGGAATTTAATAGAGGTTGGGGTCCTCATAGGTCCCCGGGGCACGGGCAAACGTACACTCTTTACTGACAATATGCTGGTCCTGCGGGATGTTGCTTGAATCATTTTTGGGCCCGCAGTTAACCTGGCAACGGATTCCTGACCAAACAAATGGACAGGTACAGACGGGTTACTTCCCTTTGTCACCACTTTTCTACTACCGCGACCAGCTCTGAAGCTCGGCATGTTTATTGGTTTACACGCTTCTGTAGATGTGTCTGTCTTTTGATTTCTATCCACCATCTTCTTTGAAAGCCCAGTTGTCGGCACATTTGTTATCGGCGGTAAAGAATAATCGGATCTTTTTGTTGTTTTCTTTGATGAGATTTTCTTTCCAGACATTGTCTTCTTAACTTTGTCTGCAAGTACAACCGGGCACAAATATAATTCAAATACATTTAGATATTATACTTGCGTGATAATTATACATCACATCAAGAAATATACTCGTGTAGCTCAACAAAATAATAGATTGACGATAAAAGTGCTCCCGCCTGAACACAGCAGGTAGTCATCATTTTAACAACGCCTGCCTATTGTTGTTAAATAAATGTTGGCACTCAGAGAACGCCCCTTTATATCCAGGGTTATGCAAATAAATACAAATATTTGTAGAAACGTGACTCACCTTTTCTGTCAAAACTGATTAGAGACGTCCTTTTCGGACAATCTGGACGGATACGGTCACTCCATGGTTCACTGTCCGGTGATGGAGAGCCCGGGATTGGAGACAATACCTGGACTGATCCAGCATTGCTGTAGTACATGGTTGTTTCACCGATTACCTTGCACTTATCCTTCATCGTTTTCTTTGGATGGATGCCTTTGAAAGACTCCATGTTAGGAAATAGCTGTTGGTCGTTGGCAGTAATCATATTCTGCTTTGTAGTTAAAAGTAAAAATCCAATAGCAAGAGAAGTGAGAAAAAGCAGTCAGTCCAGTTGAACTTTACTGTCGTAGTTATGGGAAGCAAGCATTATGGGTATCAATTATGACACAAAATCATGGTTACGTCATAGTTATTATGACGTCATCCTTTTGTTTTTGCGTTTCTGTGCACCAGAATGGGACCAAAAGGACCGAACTATACGGAATTGATAAGTAAACAAGGTCGGGGGGGGCTTATTGGCCCCTGAAATGTGTTGTGCTTATTTGCGTTTCTGTGCACCAGAATGGGACCAAAAGGACCGAACTATACGGAATTGATAAGTAAACAAGGTCGGGGTTGGCTTATTGGCCCCTGAAATGTGTTGTGCTCATAATAATAAGGTTTTGGGATTCCATCTGGAGTCTAGTGTTAGACTGATTTCCTTTGGGAAAACAAAATTGATTGACACATCACTCGACAATGTTGCAATGCATCGTGGTATACAAACACTTACTTTTTTACAATTATGATTTATATGAAGCGTTGTGACATTGGCCTTACCAGAGGTGCATAGGGAGACACTGACGGGGGAAGGGAGATAAGAGAGAAAACAAAAGCCCCAAATGTTTCAGTCGGGGAAACAGGTCAACTTCTGTCTAGTTTTCGAGTTCCCAAAGAAAGTGTACATAAAATAGGATTTTTTTTTATTTGATGGTCTGAAATATCTGGTTATATGTTTGAAATAAATGTGTACCTATTGCATTTGTTAAAAGATATGAACACGTTAGTCAAATAAACGCATTACAGTGTTTATGATTCAGCCGTAAAAAAAAGTGTGCACGCGTTGGACGTTCAACATAGGGTAACTAAAAACTTTGATAGCTGGGTGTGTAATACGTATAGTCTCTGTATTAATTATGCCACCTTTTCGTGATACCGCGTTACTTTTTAAAAATAAGATTTTTGGAGCGAAGCCATTTTTTTTATATGACCAAGAAGATACATGCCCCTGGGTTGGACCGTTATGGGAATTCCAGAACGATTTGGTCTTGAAAACTGGCGTCAGACTGTGGCGTGCCAATCGTTGCAATATTCAATAATTTTATATTTATGTTCGAAATTTTATATTTGTATTCAATAATTGTAAATATAATGCAATAATTTATATTTGTATTCAATAATTGTAAATATATGTGCAGTAACAAAAATATACATTCAATAATAAAAAAAGAAAAATGCAATATAAAAAATATTTAGTCATTGAATTTTGCAACTTTCTCACTACATAGCCGTGTACAAAAAGGGAGGTAACTACTCCCGTCTTGCTAAGACGTTATAAAATAGCATGGAGTTTTCCACGTGTCTGTGCTTCTGTCTGTTTGTTGATATTTTCTGTTTCTTGTCAAATCAAAATAATTTGATACAACTCAACATCAGTCATGTTATCGATTTGTAACGGGAAGTATTTCCGAGATTCTAGTTAACAAAGTGAAGGCAAGGATATTTTGTCCGGTTGATATCATATTGCATGTTATTAACTACTTAAGGCAGGTTTTCAGAGACACATGTACCATCATTAGGTGATATGCTATTCAGAAATTTGACCTTTGATCTAGTGTCAAACAGAAAATTAGAGTTCGATGCGATTTTTTTCTTTTTGCGGCATAATGTTACTGCAACATCATACAAATAAGCGACATTGCTGTAAAATTGAGTTCAGAATGATTTTACCGTGCATCAGAAACATGCATTTCCCTTACAGATGATGTTTAAACGAAAATGCACACAAACACGTGTAAATGTGACATCTCGAGGTCACATGACACTTCACAGCTAAGTCTATACGATATATAGCTGTAAATGTGACATCTCGAGGTCACATGACACGCCGCAGCTAAGTCTATATGATATATAGCTGTAAGTGTGGCCGTTCCTCCTGTCGGATCTGGTCCAGAACGTCAATTCTGATCCATAAAAGACTACTTTATAGCACTTATATAAATCAAGCAAACGAATTGGCATGAGATATTACAGATATAGCACAGTATTGATCACAATGAAATTTATTTTACATCACATATAACAAAAATTAAACAAACAAAAAATATATAAAAGAAAAAAAAACTTTATTAGAAAATATCAATACGAGAAAAACATATAGAGTGAAAATTATAAATTGCTTTACTCAACATAACCTTTCGCCTTCAATGATGGAAGTAGATATCGATAACGAGGGCAAGCAAAAATACTATAGACATCCAGGATCCTCGTTTACCGCAACTACATTCAGAATTCCCCAATAATGATATTTTACTTCTAAGTTATAATGACAATTTACTTCTCAGTTATAATGACAACTTACTTCTCAGTTATAATGACAATTAACTGCTCAGTTATAATGATAATTTACTGCTCAGTTATAATGACATTTTACTGCTCAGTTATAATGATAATTTACTTCTCAGTTATAATAACATTTTACTTCTCAGTTATAATGATAATTTACTTCTCAGTTAAAATGACATTTTACTGCTCAGTTATAATAACATTTTACTTCTCAGTTAAAATGACAATTTACTGCTCAGTTATAACGACAATTAACTGCTCAGTTATAATGATAACTCACTACTCAGTTATAATGACATTTTACTGCTCAGTTATAATGTTAATTTACTGCTCAGTTATAATGACATTTTACTGCTCAGTTATAATGACATTTTACTGCTCAGTTATAATGACATTTTACTGCCCAGTTATAATGATATGTTACTGCCCAGTTATAATGATATTTTACTTCTCAGTTATAATGACATATTATTGCTCAGTTATAATGACATTTTACTTCTCAGTTATAATGATATTTTACTGCTCAGTTATAATGACATATTATTGCTCAGTTATAATGATAATTCAATGCTAATTTATAATGACATTTTACTGCTCAGTTATAATGATATTTTACTGCTCATTATAATGGTATTTTACTGCCCAGTTATAATGATATTTTACTGCTCAGATATAATGATATTTTACTGCCCAGTTATAATGATATGTTACTGCCCAGTTATAATGATATTTTACTTCTCAGTTATAATGACATATTATTGCTCAGTTATAATGACATTTTACTGCTCAGTTATAATGATAATTTACTGCTCAGTTATAATGATAATTTACTGCTCAGTTATAATGACATTTTACTTCTCAGTTATAATGATATTTTACTGCTCAGTTATAATGACATATTATTGCTCCGTTATAAAGATAATTTAATGCTAATTTATAATGACATTTTACTGCTCAGTTATAATATTTTACTGCTCATTATAATGATATTTTACTGCCCAGTTATAATGATATTTTACTGCTCAGTTATAATGATATTTTACTGCCCAGTTATAATGATATGTTACTGCCTAGTTATAATGATATTTTACTTCTCAGTTATAATGACATATTATTGCTCAGTTATATATTGACGTTTTACTGCTCAGTTATAATGATAATTTACTGCTCAGTTATAATGATAATTTACTGCTCAGTTATAATGACATTTTACTTCTCAGTTATAATGATATTTTACTGCTCAGTTATAATGACATATTATTGCTCCGTTATAATGATAATTTAATGCTAATTTATAATGACATTTTACGGCCCAGTTATAATGATATTTTACTGCTCAGTTATAATGATATTTTACTGCCCAGTTATAATGATATGTTACTGCCCAGTTATAATGATATTTTACTTCTCAGTTATAATGACATATTATTGCTCAGTTATAATGATAATTTACTGCTCAGTTATAATGATAATTTACTGCTCAGTTATAATGACATTTTACTGCTCAGTTATAATGACATTTTACTACTCAGTTATAATGATAATTTACTGCTCAGTTATAATGACAATTTACTGCTCAGTTATAATGACATTTTACTGCTCAGTTATAATGACATTTTACTACTCAGTTATAATGACAATTTACTGCTCAGTTATAATGACATTTTACTGCTCAGTAATAATGACATATTACTGCTCAGTAATAATGACATTTTACTGCTCAGTTATAATGATAATTTAATGCTAAGTTATAATGATAGTTTTCTGCTTATAAATGCTTTTTCATATATAAACAACATCTTCCGAAGATACCACAATCCTTTTCTAGACAATGCAATAAAGCGACATTTGAGGAAAACAGTGGAAATAAGATTGTTATATAACTTAAACATAGCTGCCAAAAACATGTCTGTAAAACTACGTATCATATATGCTTTACTTCCGTCAATATCTGCATGACTCGATGCCGAAAACCCTGTATGTTCTACACCTATAGTGATCTACGCGGTGGGTGTTCTTGACAGTGTAGAAGGGAGGTAACTCCGGTCGGCTTAAAAGATATGTGCCGTGAATCTACTTATACTCGATGACTTTGTCCTCTAAACCACTGTGATCATATAAAGACGGCTAGTAAGGTCAAAAGATGGCATTAATGTTATTCATTGAGCTATGGCGATGTCCGTTTATAAAGAAAAAATAACAATTGTGTTGAATAATAGTGTCTAAAATGTAGATTTTTTTTAATCACTCAAAATAAAACAATATAAGTGTTAAAATTCCTTTTCTCAGTTATGAACAAAAAAGAAATTTAAGAGATTTAATTGTATTTAAATTAAGTCGTCCACATTCGACTTTTTTAATCCTTTCGAACGTTAGCCAAGGTACAGCTCAACTCGAAACTCTCTAAGTATGAAATTGGGCTATAGAGATCGTAAATATTTATTCGATATTTTTATAACCCGAGGCCAGGTGTTAGCTGTATCTATACATACAGTATACTTAGCATATATATACATATATAGTTACCTTGGACCCTGAGAACATACTTGTGTGTATATACGACCTTGCTTCTAGACATACTTATATAGATTGTCCCGATTTATGGTCTTTAAACTGCAGGTTTATCGACTTAAAGTACGGGAAGTGGTCGTGTTATGATCTCTCGCGCAACTCCCCACCCTTGAACAACGTCTATCTACACGATAACAAGTTCCTTGCATATCGATAGGAGAATTAAACTACTTTGTTAATACAAAAACTATCATTAACACGTACACGTCTCTTCTTATCAAAGCGCAAAGTATACATTGTGGAAATTCCATTACTGCTCAATGATTTATCTTTATTTCATTGCAAGTATTAGCTAAATAAAATGAGCACCAACCGGTTTTATCATTCCTGATTATGTAGGCGCTGGAATGTGACATAATGAGTAAGCAAGCAAGTACAACGGATGTGTATGAGCACGGAATTAGATCATCTAAGTCCGTGGTATGAGGTCATATTTACCACTATATTGCATTGTCACTATATAACCCTACCAAATTCAGATTGCGCTAATATCAGCTATGAATGCAATGACCCAATTTTTGACATAATAACTGGCACTTTTGATTTCACTGACCCTCCCTTAAGATATCTGCTCTATTCATTAAAATACTATACACTTTACATTTAATTATGTTGATTGAATGCTGACTTTTATCAATTTAATTTCCCATTAGTCAAAATGTCTATATAATAAATCAAACTATTGTACTGCTAACAAATTGTACTGCTAACGGCTCCGCGAACTTCATTGAATTTGTCATTTCTATACAGTTTGCATTTGCTATCAATGCCAAAATAAATCAGATCAACTCTATATAAACGTCCCTACGCTTACTATCTAATCAACGATATAAGACGCTTACCTCCGTCTCTAGCCAAAGTACTTGATAAAAGGACGTTATGATTTGAATCACAGAGTCAATTATTCTGTTGTTTTAATTTAATTGATTTTACTCGATTATCGAATAGTTGGAATGTTTTACACCGAATACAATAACATTGGAGCCAGTACTTCAAAATATCTACCTTTGTATACAAAGAGCAGGTCACCCTGGTATTTGAAATGACGTCACTTAGAACGTCAATATTTACAAAACACTGTTAAATAAATTTTACACCTGTGGTAGCACCTGTTTCTCGGACGTGAATTGTACACACACAACAGCTTACAACGGGCCTATCTCATTTCTTTGTTTCTTTGAAGTGCCGCCGGCGGTATGACATTCCCATTGTTGTGATATTTGAGTTATCTCACCTCCATCTCAGTCCGTCCATTTAAATCCATCGACAACGTGCCATATGTGCAGGCTACGCCGACAGACCTGTCGAACGTCCATTAAAGCTAGACTCTATTAGAGTGTCGAACATCTATTAGAATCTTTTAACGATGTATGCTACCTTTACTGTAATATGCACCTCCGTCTCAAAAGAGTTCGACACCATAAAAACGTGTTAAAGATATATGTATCTCGACAAGTTCGTGTTAATTAATTGATGACATATTAGAAATGTACAACACAATGATAAATGTAAAGCCAGAAATATTTAATTTCCTTGTAATTATGTTATATTTGTATTGCCGAAATGACCTAAAGGTGTGTTTTATATAATAATAATTTTGGAAGAACGATGTTATTTTTTAATTGCAATTTCGTTGAGCATGTTTCAATAAGGAATCAACATAATGCACTGATTTTCAAAAGAAATTAATAGAATTTTGAATAAATATGCGTACGTACATGAGGAAGAATTGATCTACAGGAAGTTCGTGGATTGAAATTGCTCGGGACGCCACCCTGAATTCATCTAGATTAACCGACTTAGTCTATGTGTCGGAGATATGCAATAAACATATAAATCTGCCATACATAACTTCATATTTGCAGGTCATTTAAAATCAATTTAAAATACCAGAATTAAATCAATAACGTATTTGTACAGACACGAAATATGAATCTGGTATACAAATTCAGCATTATATATTTGTAGTTGACCCCGGCATTGAAGATCAGTGGGATCAAGTGTGTAGCCACTGATTTTCAAATCGGGGACGCATAAATATTTATACATCCTTGTTCCCTGAGACTGAGCAGATGGAAAAAATCAATAACATACCAGAACTGTTCGAGGCGGACGATAGGGATACCCATTGTTAGCGTTTACATATTGGAAAACAATTTTGTTCTATAATGCTGAGCATTTTCCACTCGTTTATTTTCCATTTTTTATTTTGAACAGATTTCGCAAATACTTCTGCTTCAGTGGTGTTTGTTGGGTCTCCAGGTATGATTATAATTACATGGTCTGGCGAACTTAGCTCAGAGACTGTCTGACATCTTCAATATGTGTAGCTCGATCGAATCGGAGCCTGGCTCTCTTCTCCCCCCAATGAATTTATTGAATTCCATGGTTATGCAATGTATGTCCATTTATTGCATCTTTCAGCAGTCGAAACCATTTGGTCATATGTATTATTCCTTTTTTATCCATTAAAAAAATGTCTTGAATACTGCATGATAAGCTCTTTACGCGACAACCAATCTTTAGTTTGTTCTAGCAAGGACTTAGATCTAATCTAATTACGTGGTTTTAGTGTCATGTCACACATCAATTTACATAGGCCTATATCACAATTAAAAAATGCATGACATTTAAAAAACAGAGATTAGATCAAATGTGATTTCCAGTCGAAATCAACTTATATAAGACACATAATAAGTAATAAGACGTAACTGTCAACTAATCTATATAACGTTAACATTTTACAGTAATGATGCGTAACGTTACATATTAATTATCATGGCCGTAATAATACATGTCATGTGGGTGTAACATCAGTGTTTTATATAACGTCCACGTTTTCATCGGGACTATTTATTGTACAAGCATTTAACACTCCCTCTTATGAGTGGTTTGTGTTTCATTTTCCCACAGAAGATATACACTCGCTATGTAAGATTGTAATTTACCTGTGTGAAATACCTGTGTCAATGGGTACCCCCACATTGATGTGTCATCGACTTTCTACTTTCAACCAATCAGAGCATTTGTTTTTGTCACGTGAACGGAATTAGTCCGACAGCTTTGTACCTGTACGCGACAGGTTGGTGTGTAGAAAATGTGATATTCTGGCAATAATTTAGAGGAAATTTCAACTTTTTCGGGATCTGTGTTGTTCAGGAAATTTATACGGACGACATTTATTTCACGAAATTGGATAACTTCATCCAGGTGTAAAACAAATTTCATTTTGGGACAGTCCGTCTGCATCCAATATGGCGATTGGGCACTTCCGATTTTAGGATCAAACACAACGAAATCGCTGTGAGAACTAACGGAACATTTGGGAGAACATTTCTGTCTTGACACCATTAATTTGTTTTAATTTTATCACTTTTAACATCTTTTAGACACAAGACATGTCAAAGACAACATTCCACAGGTGATTCTACCCCTTGGATGTCACGTTATTCAAAATGGGACCCAGACGAGGCCGATTCTGCAAAGGCTTGGATAGTCAGATTTCAGTGCTACATATACTTATATTTATGTTGTGGGTGATACAAGAACATCTGTATTGTGTTAATTGTCAAGGTAAGATACTACACAAAGTTGCCGAGACCCAAATTACGTATAAAACATCCATGGCAGATTGAGATACCGGTGTGATTACAGCATCACCTTTATCACTGTGGTGTGGTGGAATGTTTCAGTAGAGGGAAGCTTTTTATTGGTGATATGTTTATCTCATGTTTAACGGTCCAATAGTGTTGGATACCGTGCCAGTGTGGTTTCCGTTGGCTTAGTCCTCACATACCCCCATGTCAATTCTTTTCTCATTTGGATTCATGTCTTTTGATCTTGACTACTGTTTATCATTATTGAAACTGAAATCTTAAGAAACATAGTTTAATACAGCTATAAAATGTAGATGGATAAAGGTATCAACAGCTATATAGCTCAATAATTGACAGAGTGTACTGGACCTGTTAAATATAACAGTGTACACAGTACACACATGTCAAATTTACACAGCCTTTACGGCTTTAGTCAAAAGTTCAGTTTTGGAGTTTAAAACATAGTTACCTATGTACAAGGACGAGGAAAAGTGATAAAGATAGTGCCTTTGCTGGGGCTTGAACCTGCAACCCTTGGCTCTCCAGCCCGATGCTCTACCGCTCAGAGCTTAAGGGAAATTCAATGCACATCTATATTACACCTGTAACAGCAGCTACTGAGTGAAAGCCCTGCTCATGACCAAAAAGCTTCCATGCTTCCCTAAGATAACCTTTTCATGCATGAGGGGGGGGAGGGGGGGGGGCATGAAAAGTTTATCTTGGGGAATAGAAGCATGTAAAACAAAAAAGCAGAGGTCTTCGTTCTATGCTGGTCCAATTTTTTGTCTTTTGTCTCATTTTCTGAGAGCTCTTTCAAGACATAAAAGAAGTGTTTACATTTGCTACCAATGATGTATTCAAACTCTCAGCATACCATTAATTGTACATGTAGTGATGAATGTGCAAAAGATCAAAAGACTAACTGGACCTCCAGTAATGTAATCAATTCAAGCTGTCTGTCTTTTCACCTGCTTACATAACCAGTATCTTGTGATCGCTACTTATTCAATATAAATACTTCAACTGTATTTTTTTTAAATTAGTTGTCTGTGATGAGAATTATATATGATGATGTAATATGGGAATGCAGTGATAAACTTTCTGAGACGTGCCTGTCTCCTATTCCTCAAGCACATTTTAAAAAATTGGCAAAAAGATACAATACTTATAACAAATTCTGTAAACTACAGAAGCTAGGAAACAGGAAATAAAAAAAGAAGCTTGATTATTTAATTTTTTCATGGTCACTGATGTTTCCCCACTTCAACACATACAAGAAACAGTAAAAACATTCCTGGAAATTCCATTTTAATGTGATCCTCAAAACCTGCAGGATCATTGAACATGTACATGTTCAATGAAACTGGTGCATTCAGACATGTCAAGCATTCATTCAAAATAGCCTGTCTGAGAAGCCTTTTTCCTGTAATCTTACATCCCTGACAGCTGGAACTTTGTTTTTTCTGTACTGTAGATTCAACTGCACCAAACCAGAAAACAGTATTTCTAGTAACCAACTAAATTCTGGTACTGTCAATGGTGTTAATTTTTTCATGATCAGCCATTATCAAAAAAAAGGCAGTCAGTTGCTACTGTTGTTATAAGCACAATCTTGCCACCTTTCAGAAGAGACCGGGTTTGATCCACCCAATTTAATGAGAAAATATATATTACAGTTAGGGTATCTCTGTAAACACATCAATTTCTTTTGCAAAATTACTCCCAATTCCTCCCGACAAAAGCCCATTCATGCATTTTTAAGGGCCAAAAGACAAGGTCATTTAAAACGCGATTGTAGCTTGTTAAATAATTGTTTTTAATTTTATGATAACAAAGCTACAGCTGTAATATAGATAGAAGACCGATGACTATCTCGGCTTAGACACTGGTCCATGGTTATCTTAGCTTAGACACTCAGTCCACGGCTATCTCAGCTTAGACACTCAGTCAACGACTATCTCAGCTTAGACACTCGGTCCATGACTATCTCAGCTTAGACACTCGGTCCATGGCTATCTCAGCTTAGACACTCAGTCCACGGCTATCTCAGCTTAGACACTCAGTCCACGGCTATCTCAGCTTAGACACTTAGTCCACGGCTATCTCAGCTTAGACACTCAGTCCACGACTATCTCAGCTTAGACACTTAGCCCACGGCTATCTCAGCTTAGACACCCAGTCCACGACTATCTCAGCTTAGACACTCAGTCCATGGCTATCTCAGCTTAGACACATAGTCCACGGTTAATAATAAACATGCAGCAGTTACAGTCATAGAATCAGTTAATTGTCATAGAGTGCTGGATCATATATTTAAGTATAGGTAAATGTCCATTTTAAATTTATAGTATACAATAGAGTTTTGTGGGAATTGCATTGTATATATGTTCTTATGTTATAGTTGCAAATTGAATAGAGGTCAGTTATAAAGTAAATATCGTTGGGCCTATGGGGGAATAATTTACCGGTCGTGTAAGATAGGAAGTCGCTGAATACAGGTGGTCGTTGAGGCAGGTTTGTCTTTATATATGTTCTTATGTTATAGTTGCAAATTTAGACTAGAAGAAACAGTCTTCCAAACTATACAGCCATGTAAAAGTTAAAACTTGTAGCTATATATATATATATACTATATAGCTAGCTGTATTCCTAAAAACCCTTGTCTTATAATTACTCAACCCTTTATACAGGGTACATGTACTGAAGCATTTTTCACACCTACATGTGAGTTCATTTATGCTCCTGTGAATGAATTGTATTTCCTCAATAAGAAAAGCTTATGGTGTGGATACCTGGTAAGTAGAACTAAAAGGTACACTGGGAACATCAATATGTTTACAGTATTTGTGGCTGTTTAAATTGCAATACTTTGATTCAATTTGATTTGGGAACAGCTTTAACAAATAATAACATGAAAATACTGCAAGTCCAGATACAAACCCTCGCTCCCAAATCAAATGCAAGGTATATATCATTTTCAGGACAGTAAACATAAGTTTCCATGTAGCAAATTAGTCACAACCATGCATGCATGGGCATACAGCAGTTTGTGTCCACAAAAATGCTTTGATTTATTTGTTGACATTACAAGGTCAGCTATGACAGCATCAGAAGATCCTAGAGTTAAACATGGTCTCCTAAACCTTTCATGGCTATTTTATTATGATGTCATTGCTGAGCTTAATTTTGTATGTTTCATCAGTTGAAGCAGTATATCATGATCATGAGCATACCATTGCACATATCTGTTTTAATTGCTGCTCCATGCATGTTGCCACTTAAGCTTTAACTCAATTTTGTGACAGCTGTTGAATTGCAACATACAGTCACCAACAAATGTCAAAATACAGTAGGGTTATCCCCCCTACATGATGTGAAATGATATTATTTGAATACACATATATATATATTAGGTTTACATAATACCAGCTGTTAAACATTATTTGGGTTTTCTGTTATCTTTAGTTTTGTTCAGGCCAAAAAATATACCATAAACAAGAATAAGCACTGCTACAGTCTGAAATGCTGTCCCTTTATAATATAAAATATTTGTTTGAATGATTTTTAGAATCTAAACACTTGCCTATAATATACCTATAGATAGGATTCTTGAGAGACCCAAAAGAGGACACACTGCAGTCACACATTATTTAGTTGGTAATTGGCCTACATATACATTTTCTTTATTCCTATATAGTTTTCGAATGTCTTTTTGTTTCAGATCAATATCCGCCAAAATATTTTACCCATTCTCCGCAGTGTGGTAGTATTGTACAAACAGGAGGATTTAAACTAATGACATGTAGAGCATACGCTAACCCAAGTCCAGTGTACCAATGGAGAAAAAATGGATCTGATCTTCCCGGAGAAAACAACTCACAACTCCGCATTTCGCAAGTACAGAGAGATGATGCTGGCTTTTATCAGTGTATGGCATACAATGATCTTGGAACGTTACTTTCAGAGAGCTGTGAAGTGGTGGTTGCTTGTGAGTAAATAATTTGTCCCTTATAACCTGCTGTTGCCTTACCTATATGTATCATTTTATGCTTGAAATGAAGATCTTTTGTCCAATCTCTGTGGGTACCAAAGGAAATATAAGATAATAAAAAATAGAAAATCCAAAGGGTCTGTTTAAGATGGAATTATTCCTACTGGCTGTGCTTTCTCATTTTTCACTTGCCCATTTACTGGGGCTACAACCTTGAGATGACATCAAGCCAAAGACAGATAGACTTTCTTGTTACTGTAAAATACAATTGCCCCTGACCATGGGCTAGCACTTTGTCCATAATGAAGTATCATGTGAATGTTTTTGTTTTAGATATGGACCCTTTCTTAACATCTACAGACCAAGATATACCCATTCAATATGGAAATGCTGTCGTCTTGCAGCTCCCAAAAATTGACTCCATTCCTGCCCCGACAATGGATTGGTATCTCGGTCAAAACCTGATGGATATAAATGGACCAAACCACTACATCACTTTAAAGAATAATTTAGCTCTGTTAGATATAAGTGATGTTTTAAATGACAATATTTATCATGCAGAGGCTCTTAATGGACAGTCTGGAGATTCTGCACAAAGTGGACATTTTACTCTCAAAGTACAAGGTATGTTTCTAGATTTGATGAAAAATTCTGATCAAAGGTATTATTAGATAAGCTAAAATTATGCAGAGCCAATAGTTATTATGTTTACTAGCCATGCTTGTACAAATCGCAACAATTTTTTTAAAAAATCACCAATGATGATTTTTGTGATGCCATCATTTATTTTTGAAATAATATAAACCATCCATGTAATTTTGTAGCTACCAACGATGTGGTGAAAGCCCCTACAATGGAAGTGCCTCCAAAGGATCTGGCTATCGTGGCAGACTTCACAACAACAGTGGCCGCGTTCGAGTGTGTCGTCAATGCAAGGTGATCATGAGAAACATAGCCTCTTAAGTTCAAGGTTAAAGTGTTCATTTGATACACAAATATAAGAAATTGTTTTGAAATTATTTTATGACGACAACAACAAAACACTTTAAAGAGACTAGACGAGGAAAAAATGCTCATTTAAGTTGATGTCTAAATGAATGGTTCATCAACTTCCAAAACCATAAAGTTTTTCTAAAAAAGAAATGGAGCATGTCACTCACAGAAAATTTATGTGTTAAATGTGTAATTTAACACTGAAATAGTTCCATCATTACCATGAATACTTCTACCGAAATACAACTTTGAGGCCTCCATGTGAAATTTAATCAATATTTTCAGGCCAATTGGTGGACTGCAAACAAAATGGTACAGAATAAATGGTGCAACGAGAACAGAAATTATTGGAGATGATACGAAATATCTGTTTGATGATGGACGATACCACCGCAAACTACAGATACGAACCCCAGTAGCCTCAGATAGGGGAGTGTACGAGTGTGAGGCAGAACTCCTGAATTCCCCCGATGGAAACACTTACCCTAAGCAAAGTGCTAGAGCTAATTTAACAGTTTATGGTATGATTATTTAAGTACACTCTTTTATATAAAAAGTACAGAATGTTTTTCAAACTAAATACCATTTAAATACAAAAAGTGATCTTGTGTTTACCAAAGACTGTTTACATTTAAATGTTACTTGCAATTTGTTTTTTCATCTAAAAGTATTATAATTTTTGACATTTCTGAAGTTATATTTATATTTTGTAAGGGTGTAATGATTGGTTGTTCTGAAGACTTTTCTTCCATTATTGAAGTCTTGTAGTATATTTCTTTTTTTTTGTTCATGTATCATGTCAGTGTTGGAACCGAGGCATATATTTCCATCTGGATAATATTTTGATGACAGGGCTGTGCCCAAGCTATATAACAACCTAAAGGAAAAGGTTAAAAAGGATCTGAGTAATGCTGTCTGCATTTCACTATGAAATGATGACTGGACAAGCAGTTAGCTATGCAGTACTTTTAGTAATAATAATATGTTATGTACATGTATGTAGCATATTTCTACCAATATTTCATTCTCAGACTGCTTATAACTGTTTGTTGATGAGTAAATATATATAAAGAACATAAAAACAAACTTCCGTTTACAATATAAAACCAAATATATTTACATAAATATATACACTTATCATTTCCCTACAGATGTATTTGTCATAACTTTATAGTGATCATAATTATAAACTGAAAAAAAAGGACAAAAATTTACTCCAAACCATATGTCATGACTATCGCAATAGTTTTCCATTTATTGATATGGCAATACTACATGTATCACAATTATAATTCTAACTATTGCAATAGTAAAGTGCTCAATAATCACCCCTAATAGTTTTGCATAACTTTAAGAAAACTTCCAAATGAACATTTGAATTAAAGCTTTTGCAGATTGTCATAGAAGTATTATCATATTAACAAAATATTCAGAATTTTTCTTGAGATCACTTGTTTTTTCTTCAATACAAATTACCTAGAAAAAAATATTCACTTTTTATATAAATATGCTTTTACTAAATGGATAATTTGATGCCTTTAAAATACTATGTTCAATTAACTAATCTGTTTCAGTATTGTATAAAGTCTTTAAGCAGTCATAGTACAAGAAAAAAATTAAGTGAATTTCTTAGTAATATTCCTCTTTATGACCACAGAGAAACCTGTCATCGACTCGGTGATTGACAGTATCTACAGTAAAGATTATGCAGAGACTGTCCAGGTTCCATGTACAGCCACAGGAAACCCAACACCAACCATACACTGGTACTTCAATGGGGCAGACGTGGCATCTCTTACCAGCAACAAGTAAGCATTAGATCTTCTTCACTTTTATTTGATGCCTAAACCATTTCAAGAAAAGAAAAAGGAAATGTAATACTTTCAATATCTTCATGCTTAAATTTTGAATGAATAATAAAATATATGCAACAACAAATGCAGAACAAATATGGAAATTTGACTCTAAAATTGACTGCAACTCAGGTTGAATGATATACTGCATGCATGGAAACTTTCTCCCTGTCAAATATTCACCCATCACCGGTGAAATTCATATGTGCCTAGTGCTAATTTTACCCTTAAAATGTAATTACTTTATGAAGAGTATACTGTGTACCAATATGTGCTGTCATGATAAATTTGCCCTAATTGCTGAGGGCAAAAACAGCGAAAATTAAATACAGCAAAAAATTCCTGGTATACAGTAATTAGAACTCTTGATATGTTTGTTTGCCATAGACCTTTGGGTCCAGGGAGGTAATACCTTACCCAATTATTACATTAATAGAGAATGATAATGTATTTCATATAAAACAGACACACAGTACAATCAGATGGGACCATAGTGATCACCGCTCTGGACCTGGAGGATTCAGGGATGTACCAGTGCTTTGCCAAAAATGTTGCGGGAGAAATTGTGAAATCTACTTGGGTTAAGGTTAACAGTAAGTAGTTAGTACATAGCAGACCATTGTTAATCGGGGTTGAAAAGGCAATATTTATGTAATGGTAGACCCATATATTCAATATGAAAAACAATTTAGGTATATGGGAATCATTTCCTTTAAAGTCCCTCTGACTGCCTGTAGTATATTTTGTAAGTGCTAAATTCTAAGTGATCAGTCTATAATATTTTAAGCATGGGGAGACACTGATGAAATTATGTTGTATTATTACCATGGGACTGTTTTCTGACAAACATAATTGATCTGAAGGCTGTTTCAGAATTTATAGTATGAGAGGGACAGGAAGCACTACTGATATCAAATATTGAAAATATTATGTGGAATACTAGGCAGGTGTGGATTTATCCCAACCACTCTAAATTTTGCAGTTAAATTATAGTAACTAGTAACTACCTACTTTATGTAACCATAATGTTGAATGTTTTCAGGCTTGCCCCCTGAGCTGACTGCACCCCCACAGAATCTGACTGTAGTGGAGGGATCTGATGCTCGATTGTCCTGCAGTGCAACTGGTGCCCCAAAACCAGCAATATTTTGGGTGAAAGGTAACTATTTGGTGAAGAACAGGGAAAGTGCTGTTTCCTATAGAATATATAAAGTTCTCATTAGTTTCAGGATTGTCATTTCAAACAACTTCTTGGGAAATTTGGTAATTTATAACCAAATTAAAATAACTGAAGATTTCATGTGACAAGTCTTTGACGAGTATCGACAAGTCTTGTTATCCAAGCAGTGCTTTGCATTTATTTTCATGCATTGTATTTTCTTTTCAAACTTCGGTGATACACTGTATATCTTAACATATTTATTTTTTTCACTTTTCAAATCGTACAATAATTGCACACTTTTTAACAAAAAGAAGGATTTAGGTGAGTTTTTAATATTTGAAAATTGCAATGGCAGAAAAAGATACAAATAGCTAATTATATATTTTATTGTTTTTCAGTTGTTGGTGGAGTCGCACAATCTATTGCCATTGGTGGGCGTTTCCAGATCATGGATGGATCTGACCTTCTAATAACCACAACACAAGCTTCGGACTCGGGCCAGTACAGATGTAATGTCACAAACAGTCGAGGCAGCTTAGAGGCAGAAGCTTATCTGGCAGTTCTAGGTAGGATGTAGTTTGATAGAAGTGCTCACCTATTCAGGGTTCAACTCTGAGTTATTGAAACATCTCCATAAGGGTAAAAGCTACTTTACTGTGACATGGAAACTTTAAAGTGTATGTTGCCTTGCTGTGAAATGTAGACTTAAGAGTATATGCTACATTTCTGTGACATGGACACTAAATGGTATATGCTGCCTTACTGTGACATGAAAACTTAAGGGTATATGCTTCCTTACTGTGACATGGATACTTAAGGGTATATGCTGCGTTACTGTGACATGGAGACTTAAAGGTGTATGATGCCTTACTGTGACATGGATACTTAAGGGTATATGCTGCATTACTGTGACATGAAAACTTAAGGGTGTATGCTGCCTTACTAATACATGGAGACTTAAGGGGGTATGATGCCTTACTGTAACAAAGAGACTAAAGGGTATATGCTGCCTTACTGTGACATGGAGACTTAAGGGTATATGCTACCTTACTGTGACATGGACACATAAGGGTATATGCTACCTTACTGTGACATGGAGACTTAAGGGTATATGCTGCCTTACTGTGACATGAAGACTTAAAGGTGTGTGACATGAAGAATAAAGGGTTTATGCTGCCTTACTGTGACATGAAGACTTAAGGGTATATGCTGCCTTACCGTGACATGAAGACTTAAGGGTATATGCTGCCTTACTGTGACATGGAGATGTGCACTACTTCACTGTGACACTGTATATCTCCTTTAAATAAAAGTGCTACTCTTAATCACAAGAAAAAATGTTTTATATGAATGGTATTGTTGACTTGGTTAGATAAGAATGCATGCATGTGTAAGTATTTTAAAGGTCATTACCTTAATAAAATTACAACTTTATATTTGGGTAATTTTCTTATAATTCTTAATTAGACCTTGGTTCATATACTTTAACTGTCTATAAATTGAAGCCTAAGTAACTGTTATCTTTATTTCAACAGTGAGAACACAGATCACTGCTCCCCCTCAAAATGTCTCCAAAGGCAAGGGAGAGAATGCCATGATGCCTTGCAGCGTATCGCATGATCCACACATACAGGTGCAGCTAAACTGGTACAAGTTTGACCGCAATACAAACCAGAAGAATCTGCTCAGTAACAGCAGTAGGATCAGCATCAGCGGAACGGGTACACTGCAGATCATGGGCGTGTACAACATTGACATTGGCTACTACCAGTGTGAGGTCATCTCTTTGGGAGGAAACGACAGCCGCAAGGCTTATCTCTCAGTCTTAGGTATGAAACAGAAAACCAATATTGAAAGAAACAGACAGAATTTCCCTAGATCAACATTTTATAAATAATTTTGAAATTTCTTGAATAGTAAGATGTCATGTTCAAAATACTTGCTGCTGATAAAATTTTGAAATTTAAAAACCTGTTAATAGAATCTTGTATATTCTACTAGAATCATTTTAATCGTTGCCTAGTTGCAGTGATATCACAGAACTGAATAGAAATGTGTGTTTAAGTGTGAAATAGCATTTTTTACAAGAAAAAAAATTATGCTATTATAAATTTATCAATTTTAAACAAGTGACAAAAAATATATACTGATTATCATTTAAATATCTGTTGAATGCTATCCACTGAATTTATCATGTTATCATTGTTTCCTACTGCAGAGATCCCCCACCAGCCAGTACTGCAGACGGTTGTGGTAATGCAGTCAGACCTGAGGTCGGTGAATCTGACATGGCAGCCAGGCTTCGATGGCTACACACCAATCATCAGATTTATCATACAGTACAGACAAGTTCTCTTTGTACCTGGAGAAGGTATTTATGTCCTTAATGGTCCTTTAAAGGCATATCAATGTGATTCTCTCAAATGAAATGCCATTAATTATTGTTCAGAAATTTATAGTCATTTCTTTTGATAATGATTCATAATTTGAAAGGAATTTTCAGATGAAATTTGCAAATTATTTTGCAATGTCTTGGTAAATTTAGATTTTGTCTTTTCTTCAAGATACTGTCTGTGGTCACTATGTCCAAGTAAAGACAGGCTGTCTGAGTAATGAACTGTTCACTGTGCAATCATACTATATAATGTATAATTATGGATCTACTATCTCTGTAAAAAAATCCCTCTCTGTAAAAAAAATCATTTTTTTATTCAAAAGTCAACAGAGCAATTTATGCTTTTAAAATTTGGACAACATTAAAATCTCTTCACTCTTACATCGAGAAGTCTGTCTAAACAAAAAACGTAATTAATGAAATTCACTTCAGATTGTACAAAATTGCATAGTACAGATCTAGGTAAAAGTGTACAAGTTCATGAATTGCTCATGGTTTGGTTTTTAATTACAGGGTATGATCAGATATCACAAATGTTTAAAAAAATTTTTAGATATAAAGTAAGATCTGATTCATAGAAATGTTTTATTTCATCAGTGTACCATTTATGTTATTAAAGAGCTAATAGAAGTGATAATACACAATCTCCAATTATTTGATGGATTTACTTCCAGCAAGACTTTGATTGATTATCAAGAGTTATTCACATTTTCAACTAGTCCGTACTTCGTATTTTGTGCTAGGTCCTCACCTATCCCTTCATCAAACAAAATTAATGAAATCACTTGTTTTAACTCAGGTATAAAAGACAGTCCAGAGGAAGGATGGGTCACCTACCCTGAGACAGCACCCTCTGACAACAACTGGTTTATTGTATCAGGTCTGCGCCCAGCACGTAGCTACCAGTTCCGTGTCAGTGCAATCAACAGTATGGGAGAGGGTGCCAAGAGTGTACCCAAACCAGTTCCACCTATAAGCATGCCAGAACAAGGTAGAGAGAAAAACCCAAATCAGAACTGTCAAACATTCAAAAATGATCAATTTCAATTTGAAGTATGAATTAGGCAATTATTTTGCTTTCAAGTCTTTTCAGTAATACAGGAGCGGTTCAGGGTTTTGTGCGTTTTATGCTAGTTAAATGTGAATTATAGGGGATTTAAGATATCATTTATTAAGTAGACTGTAAATCATTCAATTGTCACAAATATTAAATTTTGCAATCCTTTTTCAAATTAAATGACTTGGTTAATTGAGACATAACTCACAAATGAAATGGCTGTTTTTTTTAAATGAGCCTTAACACTTTTATTGGTTAGATCTTGGAATGCACAATCATATATATTCATGAATAGAAGCTTACAAGTCATTGAATTACGGTAGAAAATGATCAAGCCTGTTTTACTGTATGATCCCATTTCTATATTTTGATGCAAAGAAAAGTTTTGGCATACTAAAATGTACCTTTTGTCCCTCTTGTAACAGAATGGATTTCTTTTAAATATTTAAGAGCTTGCTGACAATAATTTCATTTTTAACTCTTCAATTTCAGCCCCCAGTGGTCCACCTAAGGGATTTTTTGGCAGTGCACGGTCTAACTCCTCCATCATGCTTCAGTGGCAGGCCCCAGATGAGGATAAGTGGAACGGAGATCTCCTTGGCTATACAATCCGATTCAAACTGGCTGATTATCCCAGTGCCTCTTACCAAATGAGAAATGCCACCATTTGGCCTTTGACTTCTTATGAGGTGACAAATCTGATCATTTTCCAGGAATATGAAATACAGATAGCTGCTTTTAACAGTGAGGGAGTGGGTGTGTACACCTCGTCAATCAGAGTGGCCACCATGGAAGGAACACCGGACGCGCCACCGAGGGACGTAACAGCCACCACAATTAATTCCACAACAGTGGAGGTGACATGGCGCCCACCGGATGCCGCATATTTCAACGGTGTCAATCTGGGATACAAGATTTACATGAAAGAGTTGACAGAGCCTGAGCCCACCTTCAGACTACAAGTGGCTCCAGATCCTAACAATCCTGTCGGAATACAGACTGCACATGTACACAACCTGAACAAGTTCACAAACTATACCTTGAAAGTAACATGCTACACAAGTAAAGGAAATGGTCCCTTCAGCTCACTTGTAGCTGTGAAAACTGAAGAAGATGGTGAGTGTTGCTGCCAAATTTCATCCTGCAGTGTTTATTGCTTGATTTTGAATTAAAGAAGTAAAACATGGTGAATTGCATTCTTTATGATAACTACAAAATTCTAATAAAGGTGATCAGTAAGTATTTAAAATCAATACATTTGCAGTTTATAAGAGACAGATATACAATGCTGAAATTCATATTAACATCATTATATTTAAACGGAGTCCTGTATTTTTTCAGGGCCAACTAACAAGCACTGATGATATTGATAATGTTACACATGTAGTGAAATTATTGTATGAACATATTGACCAGTAGTTTTTACTGAAGGAAAAAGTTTCTTAATTGTGAGGAAGAACTGTTTATGTCATTAGTTTTTTAAGTCTTTTCATAATTAAGACTTTTTTTTGTGTTCAGTTCCTGGTCCAGTTGGAAGTCTTTCATTTGCCAACATCTTGGACATATCTTTGAAAGTCATCTGGACGCCCCCTACCGAGGTCAATGGAATACTCCTGGGTAAGAAAGTTAAAATCTTAATATGTGATAATTCCTCTTTCTTTAAAACGCCTTTTGTTTGCATACAGTTTCCTAAATAATTTCTCGGCTATTTCACTGTGTAATTTATTCATCGTGTTCTCAATGTCTTGTACAGAATATAAACTGGAGTGGATGAAGCGTAACTCAACAGAGTTAGGCAAGTCAATAGACTTACAGAAGATCTTCAATGACTACACTATAAGAGGCCTGTCCCCTAGCACGAATTACACTATACTGGTTCGAGCCAAGACCGCCAAGGGATATGGACCTTCCAGATCTGCAGACATTCAGTCTGGGGTCCCTCCAGGTAAATAGTGCTTTTTCTAGTTTATACATCTGTTTGTTAATTGTATAAAGTAAATAAAAATAAAATAAATGTTTCTTATAGTAAGTAGTGTTATGGAGTTTCAGTAAATGTAAAAACTGTACTAAGAAACTTTATGCCATGACACAAAGTACATTGCCCATCTGTTTTTTAAAAAGAGAAATTCTCAAGAATCGCTGAACAGACACCATCAAATCTTGATGATCATTTCATAGACTAGTGTGGGTAGTATTTTGTCCTGTTGAATTTTTTTTGTTAGCACACCCTTATTTCAATGTTTATACAATGATCATTACATTGAATATATGTGTAGTAATATAAACAATGTTTGTAACACAGAGCAACCGACTGCTCCAATCAACCTTGGAGTGTCAAACATAGAGGCGTCATCTGTCCTGCTCCAGTTTATACCCGGGTATGACGGCAAGACTTCCATCACCACATGGATAGTACAGGGACAGCAAAACGAAAATACAACCTGGGGAGAAGTTTATAGAATCTCAAAACCCGGGGCCACTTCGCTCACTGTCCTCAACCTCCTCCCCTACGCTGAATATCGCCTTCGAATGATTGCTGTCAACATTGTTGGCCCAAGTTTGCCCAGTGTTCCAACTCGAAAGTTCCAGACCCTACAGGCTGCACCAAGTGTTCCCCCAGACAACGTCACTGTTAGGGCTCAGAACGCTACGGCTCTCAGGATCAGTTGGGCAGTAAGTTTTTACACAACTTAAAAACAAAATTGTTAAATTGTAAAAAAGAGTTGTTAAGGTAAATATTTTCTTTAAAAAACTCTTATGGTACTTAAATTTAAACTGTTTTTTTGTTCATGTCTTATTTTCAAAGAAAGCGCTAATTAATTTATTTATTTTTTACAGCCACTGTCAAAGAGTGAGTGGAATGGAGCCCCGCGTGGCTACCAGCTGTTCTACAAGCTCAAAGAGAACCCCGTATATGCACAGATTGATCTGAATATGGACCGTGATAACCATTTTCTGAACGGTCTAGAGGAGTGGATGGAGTATCAAGTCAGGATGAAGGCATATAATGATGTGGGCAGTAGTGGCTATAGTCCCATCACCACAGAACGTACTAGAGAAGCAAGTGAGTGGTTGTGGTCAGGAAAAAGCTTGTTTTACTTGCCAAATAACAAAGAAGAACTGTGTTTGTCTTGAAACTGCAATTTCAATTCAGTGAAGTTGGTTTTTCTCTTTATCTGGCTTCAAATTATATAATTTCTTTATTTGGAAAATATGATGTGATTTTTGTCAATAGATATATATGATACAATTGGAAAGGTTGATGTATAATACCTGTAACTCAATGATATAAAGGTATTAACTATTCCTGGCTGTCCAATGTAAAATTGATGTTTCTGTTATTTCATACTTATCTTCTTTTACGAACAGCACCAACGGACAGCCCAAAGAATGTGAACGCCATCCCTGTCTCGTCAACCTCAGTCAATGTTTCCTGGTCAGATGTCCCTGCTCTTGACCAGAACGGTCTTATCTCTGGCTACAAGGTATAGCGTACAAAATAAACTAAATGTTAACCTTGGTTGTAACTTGTTTGTTCGAAAATATTTCTTTATCAAAGTCTCAGTAATTTTTGGAAAAATGTGTTATGTGGTTTATATCACAAAAACAAACCCAATCTGCATATAAATTCAGATCATTGAACAGTAGTAAAAAGCAACATAAAGAATTTGGTAGAGTTATCTCCCCTGAAAACTTCAAATTGGCATCTTGTGTGATAATTCTTACTATGGAGGTGTTTCGGAACAGAAATTCATGTCACGGTAAGGTAGAACTTATCCTCAACTCATGAGAAATATTTACCTGAAATTGTTAATTGTAATAGTTTGAACATGTGAAAATTTCTATAAAGGTGACCCTTGATGAGTATTTTTGTGTTGGTGTAGGTCCAGTATGAGTCAGCCATCGAGAACATTCCTCCTGTGATGCAAGATGTGCCGGGAAACCAAACATACAGTGTACTGATTCAGGGCCTACGCAAGTTTGTGTCGTACCAGATGCAGGTCCTTGCATACACTCGTATGGGAGACGGAGTTCTCAGCGTGCCCAAAAAGACTGTCAAAACAATTGAAGATAGTAAGTTCATTTTAATTTATGTTTCAGTATAAGTTTTCGTTAAAAGGAACATGGTCAGATATTCTGTTAATAAAAAGATTTAAAAAAGTGCAACAACCAAAGCAAACTAGGGATCTTGTTAATGATTCAAAGGTTTATCATCGATTGATTTATAATTTAAAGAAAGGTAATACAGTTTTTCCGCAAGAATTTCAAAAGATTATTTTGCACCTGTTTTTAAAAATTCATGTATGTATACAGGAGTGTCCCTTTAAAGTTTGTTAAAAGCATTTTCTTACAACGTTCTAGTTTAGTTTAAAATTATCAACTTTATATTGCCTGGCAAAAGTTATTAATGGTTTGTCAGAATCACTTTTTATAAAATCACATGAAAGCCCCAATATGGGCAAAAAAGTATTAGTGAAATTTAGTCTTCAGTGTTTCGTAATAAAATCTTAACATTAAAAAAGGGGAAATAACAATTCAATGGTATTTATTATGTGAAGATTTCTTTTATAATTGGTACTAATATAACATCTACAATATATTCCTTCAGAACCAGGCCCACCAGTGATTGTGTGGTTTCCTCAGGTTACCTACACAACTGCAAAAGTCCTATGGAGCCCGCCGCTTGAACCAAACGGTATTGTTAGTGGATACATGGTATCCTTTCGCATCAAAAACCTCAACATCATCACTAATAGCTCAGAGCTGCCATCCACACAGTTTGAGTACACAGTGGCCACACTACAGCGTGAGACTTACTACCTGTTCAGTGTGACAGCCCGTACACATCTAGGCTGGGGAACACCGGCAGAGGTTCTCGTCTACACCATGATCAACCGCAGTAAGTTCATTTCTTCAAATTTGTACTGTTGTACTGTGTTGTGGTATAGAAGTTTTGCTTATTGTCTTTGCCCTAGTCCATATTTCACTAGATATAAGTTATGCATAGTATAAATCAATGTAAAATGAGACAAAAGTGGCAAATGTAAATGGGAGGAGATGGTCAAACATGTTGGAAAATTAAAGGAAAAGTTTCTAATGGGATAGTGGGTTTTTTTCTTTTCCTTTTTTTAGATATATCCCAGACAAAAATATAGTGGGGCACATATATTACTGCTTCCAACTATCAAGCTTATTCATTACATTCCATTCCATATCATCTATTCATTATCTCTTATTATTTTAACCCCCTTTTTTTTAATTTTTATTATCTACACATACAATGCGAATGCTTTTAAAATGAACCATTTTATCTGATTTTATCTTCGCTACTCACATGTTTGTTAAAAAAAAATAAAAAAATAACCATGGCCCTAAATGACCACAGCCGTCGATGGGCCGTTAAACATAAACAAACAAACAAAATCAAGCTTAGGTATAAATGAATAAGATAGCACATAATGAAATAGCTGCTGTAAGATTTGTAATCACATGTCATATACAGTCGAGAAAATCATAATCTGCTTTCATTGTTTTGTGTATTAAACCGGTGCCTGGTTAGAGACTACTTATTTATCTTGCAGCCATCCCGGACCGACCTTCATTGCCAACCATCACATCAGAAGTTGGACCCAGGTCAGTGGTGATAAGCTGGCAGCCAGCATTTGATGGGTATGGCCCCTTGAGAAATTACACCATACAGTACCGCAGTCAGAACGAAGGCTGGAGCCCAACCGCAGAGACTGTGCCCCCAGAACTCAACTCTTACAAAGTGACCGGGTATGTTGTCAGCATTCAGTAATTTTCAGTACATTAAGTGCAAATATAGTACATGTATCATCAAATTATTGGATCTATATAAACTTGACTTTAAGAGGGTAATTTGTCAATACCATTGTAACAGGATAAAATGTTTTCCAGTGAAATATTTACCCTCTGACATCGGTTAAATTGATAATTGTCCAATCAAACTCTTCACACTGAAATTGCCTGGTACAGGTATAAAGTGTTTCATTGGAAATCTTAATTCAGGAAAGGTATGCAAGCTACGAAAATCAAAGATGGGAGATTGATTTTAAAAGAATATTTAAACTACCGGGTAATATTTTATGCCATTCCCCCTTTTCTTGTGAAAATAAATGTTAAAAAATTTCATGTAAGTTTAAAAAAAAAGTAATGGATACAGTTTGCCTGCATTGAATATTAAAAGGAATTTGCCATGACTTGAACCCCAAGGTTACTTTATGTTTTAGCTTGCACCCAAACACCCAGTACTGGTTCAGAGTGGCTGCCACCAATGATGTTGGAATGAGTCCATTCAGCGATGAGTCTTTACCAGTCATGACTTTGGAAGCTTGTAAGTGTGCAACTGTGGTAGAAACTGAATCAACTAGAACAGCAAATAAAGGAACAAGGGTTTTAATAGGCTTTGCCTGTTTCCCAGTTCCTTTTGTGTGTAAGACATATATATATAAAGGATCTTACATAAGTTTCCATTTCACATAATCAAGATTTGTGGCATTTACACATGTAAAATGACAATTTCCATGCAATCTTGAAATGTAAAAAGCCGCCATTTTTGACTCCAGTGCATAAATCTGTGATGTTATGTACTTGTCCTAGGCATGAGGTCACAATTGGAACAATTGACACTTACAACCAATCACAGGGCTGATATAGGTCCTATTACATGAGTTAATACGCAAAAAAAATATGACATTGGTATATACGCTGGATAACACAGTACATTATGTGATAAAATAGAATATTCTTGAATCAAAACGGCAAATAAATGTCCAGTAAGGTTTGTATTAATGAAATGCTTAGTAATCTTAACACTGCGGATGTCAGTACTCATGAATGTTTGATGTTATACAGCACACATGACATACTTTAAAACATACTTTGGGGGAGGTTACTAGCCTGTTTAAATCACTTAGAATACGAGCTGCACTGTTTCTTACACACCTAATTTGTATAAGCCCATTCCCCCCTTCCTTCCTTCCATGTTGAAACTATGGTGGTCATACTATGAAAAAGACACAGTATTAAACAAAATACATGTAACTTAGTTTCCTATCATCATTGTTATTTCAGTACCAGAAGGAGCACCACAGAATCCAGTTGTTGTACCTGTAACGACTGTCTCCGTCAGAGTATCATGGCAGGTAGGTCAAAATATTCAAAGCTTCAGTTTAAACTTTTAGATACAGCACTAGGTAATGAAGAGTGTTAAGGAAATTGTGCAACTTAAACAACTGATAGGCCTTGAAATGTATAAAAATTCTAAATAATTAAATAATTGATGATAGTCAAGAAATAAAGGCTTCTTGAAACTGTTCTTTTTCGATTTTATAGTTTTCCACAACAATTTTTTTAAAAAGCCATGAAATACAAATACAACCATTCACCAGTAAAAAAACCAATTATAATCTAATACTTCACGTTATTTTCTAGCAACCTCCAATTTTGACATGGAACGGGGTACTGCTGGGCTATATCATCCAGTATAAACAAGTGGATATGAACAGTTATGCAGAAACACAGGTGGACTATCGCCAGCACACTGTGACCCTGGACCAGCTGACAAAAGATGTCAACTACGAGATCCGTATTATTGCCTTCAATAGCATGGGCAATGGCCCACCGAGTACCCCTACCATTGTGTATGTAGGGGAGGCAGGTATGTAAAATGAATAGCTTTCCTTGTGATGTAAAAATCCATTTCCATAAACTGTTATGTTAGGAGGAGAAAAGCCATTGAAATTTTGTTCCTTGGATTATATTGTGACATGTGTGTAAGGAGTCGAGTAATGAAAAGGATTTGGGGTATTATTTGGGCATTTTTGTCCTCATAAAAAGTAAAAATGTCAACATGAATTTATTTACCAATTTCTGTTATGCGAGTTTATGTTTCTCTTTGTAATGCCACATCTCCTAAACCAGTTGTTGAATGAATGTGAAATTTCCTATTTATTCCAGATTACAAATGTAACCACTAATTGTTACTCCCTTACGAGGCCGGACTCTAATGCCCCTACCTTTCTGTAGTGTATTGGTTATCCCTGTAATACGTGGTCTGTTACTATTCCGTCTTTGCGTATTGCAGAGTTATCTTCTCTTGGGAGCTGGTATTGATTGTTACGTCATTGGTTTGTGAGAGTAACGTCATCAATTTTTGAGAAAACGACCTAATTTTCTCACACAAACCAATGACGTAACAATCAATACCTGCTCCCAAGAGAAGATAACTCTGCAATAAGCAAAGACCGAATATGTTCCAGTAGGTTATTTTGTGTAAAGGTCTGATAGCATAGATACTTTGTTTTCTTTTTAGCTCCTGCTGCTGCTCCTATGAATATTTTAGTTCAGGCGGAGAACTCCACTGAATTGATGGTGCACTGGCAGCCACCACCCCCAGACAAACAGAATGGGGCCCTGTCCGGGTACAAGGTAGGCCTGCATCAAAAACCTTGAAGTTCAAGAAAAGTTAAATACTTTCAAAAGATTTAGATCAAAAGGAACAAAAATAAATAAATACAAAATTCTTTAGTATTGTTCCAGAAATCGTTGAATACTAGAATAAAATTATGGAATTTTAAGGTTTTTTTTAGACCATGATGTGAAGTTATAGAAACACTTGGTTCAGGATTATTTTGCAACCTTTATTCACTTTTATATCAACAAGGTGAATCTTAATTATTGAGAATGCCATTAGTATACAATATCACTAACCAACATCTACAAGATACTACAGACATTTGTATTTGAAAATATACCTGTTAGTCTGGTATGTGTATTATAAAGGATTAATTGACCATATTTGGGTATTCAGTACATTTATACAGATTGATTCAAAATGTGCATTTCTGATTGTTTTGGCCTCTTTTAAGTTCAATAACTTATTTCTGAAACAGATTCAGTACTGGATGACCATGGATGGGCTCCCGTCTGCCGTACAGATAATAGTCAGGGAGAAACAGGCATTACTTCAGAGCCTCCAGATCTTCGCCAACTACTCGGTAACAGTACAGGCCTACAACCTGGCCGGGGAAGGACCCAAGAGTAACATCTTCTACGGACGAACCCTGGAGGGATGTATGTATTGTTGCATAGTTGTTTCCCTCTTGGTTAAGTTGTTCAATTGATGAAGTAAAATTGGTTGTAGATACAAATTATTGTCCTTTTACTCTCAGTTAATTTGAAAATTATGATCAGAAGATTTATAAATTTGATTGAGGGAAAAAAAATAAGTTTATGAAGAGTATAAATTCGTATATTCAGTCAATAAATCTGTCAAAATTACCTATAGCAGGGACAATAATTCATTATTATTTTATCAATTTATATCAACATTTAAAATCTGTGTATATTTGTGGAATATTACTTGAAAACCTCTTTTATTTAAAAAAATAACCCACAAATTAAAAATCTTTTCTGTGATGAAAAAGAAGACTAAACAATCTCTGCCTTATTTCTATGTAATTTAATTTTTCAAACATGAATTTTATTTGAACATAACTTTTAAAAATAATATCATCTTAAAATTTCTGTGTTCTTACTCTAGTCAGACTGCTAAAACCATTTAAGGCTTAAATTCAACTTTAGCTGTTCCGATAGTGTATTGACAAAAGTATTGATAATGGTGCATCATTTGAATAGCAGGAAATCCGGAAATCTTGTCCTTATGGTTAGCAGTTATTTTGACAGTGATTTTTGGGGATTATGTTGACTGTACATATTAGACCTATTTTCTTCATTAAAGAGCTTGTTTCTGAGCTTGTAAAGACAGGGTAACAGTTACTTATAACAAAGGTCAAATTACACATAAGTCTGAAACATTTGAAACATCAACTTTTGTCTTGGGTCAATATGCTTCAATGAGATGGCTCATGTTTTCTTAATTTCAATTATGCTTGAATAATTGGTGCCAAAATTCTGTATAAAACCTATTATTGTAAGTTTATGTAATATATTTATTTTTGCAGTACCTGAGATTCCTGACTACATCTTATTCACCAACATCACACTGACATCCCTTAATGTATCCTGGGCACCGCCCATCCAACCCAATGGTATCATCATCGGCTACGAGTTGACCTACTCCCTGCAGCATTCTAATGAAGGTGGGTCATGTTTATTCAATCTTCAAGAGTTGCTTGCCCATTTTTCCAGTTTTAAGAATTGGAGATTAGGGAATGTGCCCATGGATTGTATTAAACTAGATCTAAAGCTTAGCCAGCAGTTTTTAAGAGCTTTTACTTATGGGTAGAAGCTCTTAAAAACTTAATATATAATAAAAAAATATATTAGAAAAAGGGCATTGCATTTGTGGTTTTAAGGTTCAAACATCTTCATTGCTAGTTTATATTTAGCATTGCCTAGTAGTTTTCCATCCTAGTTTGGTTGAAAGGAGAAACGCTTTTTTTTTTTTTTTACATAAATCACTTTAAAAAAGTGTCAATTGTATGGCTGTCTATAGCTAGTAGTGCTCTACAGAAACATTAGCTTTCATCTACAGTCACTAACAAGTAAAAGTATACCATCTGTTAGACAAAAGTTAAAAGTTTCAATTTTGTACTTTTATAACAACTGTATTATGACGAGTGAATTTGAAGATATAATTGTCCTTTTTCCACAGAGAGTCGCCTTGTGAAGTTGACAGTCAGTGGCTCAAGACATTATGTGATCATCGACAAAGTTGAGGAGAATGGTACCTACTTCTTCAGTGTGAAAGCTAGAACGTCTGTGGGGTTCGGGCCGGAGCGGGTGGGCAAGGTCACCATGGGGCCACAGCCAGGTATGTATTCAGTAGTTGGCTCATCAGGTTAAGGTCCTCACTATACTCCTGTACAATTTTGCACACTTTTTACTCTCTGTGAAATTCTTCTATCTTCGTGTTATGTTTATACTCTCCTTTTTAATAGTTAGTGAATTTTGTTTTAGACAAATGTTCATGGTTGATTATGATAATGATATGAAACTAAAGTAAGTACACCAAATTTACATAGGAGGATCTTAATAGGACAACTCATAACTATTGAATTCAACCACTGAAATATTATTAGCAAACTAAGAGGCATCATCTACCAATTTTTCTTTGCCTTTTCTATTTGTTCTTGGTTTTCACTTTAAATGTAAAAAAAAAAATCAGTACTAAGCTCAATTCTAATTTGCTTCTGTTTGACAAAAAAAATATCCTGGGAATGAGTAGCAAACATGATATTCCTGAAATATCGGAAAATTCATTTGAATTATATCATATTTTGCAAAAAGGTGATTCTATGTTTAAGTTTCGAATACGTCTCAAAAACCAGAACTGTGAACATTATTTTCAACAGTTTTGCTGAGTTTTCTTGTCTCCATCCTTAAACAGCAATATTAAGAAAATTTAGATACTTTGAAAATGACCAGCAAACATCCTTACAATTGGACCAGAAGGCTCGGACCAATCTGGAAAGACCTGTTAAAGCTTGATATGGTTGTGAACTGCTCTGTTTAATTTCAGGTTCCCCCGGGCGTCCAAATCCGCCATCTGTTGAGATGACCGGTGATAGCACTGTCATACTACGTTGGCAGGGAGGTAAAAGTGGAGACTCCGATATCATCGGCTATCGTGTAGAGGCCAAAAGTACAAGTAAGTAATATCATGTAATTCTCTGGCACTCGGTATCATACAAAAACAGTGGTCATATCGTTTGAGCACATGTTTGTATTAATAAAGACCATAAAAAATTGGTTTCTCTTGCATTGAAATTAGGAATTGTGTTTCAGCTGTAATTTTTGTATTAAATTTCTTTATTTCAAATCTGCATTATAAGCTTTGACATGGTTGTAAACTACAATATAGTATAATCTTGCATTTATCAAAACACTTCTACTGGTAATGAATTCAACTTAAGGTATCCTGGTTGTCTTACTATCCAGTTAGTATTTTAGGGGATGGATTGGTCCTTTTCTACATAAATCCGTTTTTCTCACAAACCACAGTTACTGGAATGGTAATCAGTGTATTAAAGATTCTTTTTATCACTTGTGTTTCCATTTCTGTCGCCTTCGCTGCAGATCAAGGATGCCACTTTATTATTCCTTGTGATGTCATAAATGGGTGCTATTACGATGTCAGTAATTTTAAAGAATTAATGAGATCATGAATTTGAACTGAACAGTAGCTTCAACAGGTTTAATATAATACTTTTATAGAGAAGCAGCTTTGGGAGACAGCACCGGTGTACCAGACAACTACAAACATCACAGAGGCTCGCTTTTCCTTCCCCACCGTGTGTTCAAACGACGGATGCCAGTTCAGAATCAGAGCTTTCAACTGGATCGGCATCAGCCATGCAAGCAATCCCTCAGAGGTTATAGGTAAGAGCACTGCTACATGAGCCCAGTACTCTATAGAAAGGTGAAATGTTTGCTTGTGTGTGGTATTTATTTTCTATTTTGATAGAAGTTGTATTTAGTACAAATGTTTTTTTTTGACTTGACCAACACTTATTGATGGAAACTTGTACAAAATATAAGGTCCTAGCGCTCAGCTGTACATTTTCCATGGAAAATAATTAAGCAATAAAATATCTACAAAATTCTTTGGAAATCCGCACTTACTTGGAATTTCATGGGTTTTAACATTTCCACAGACATCGTCCACTGATCAGCTAATTTTGTGGTTTTCTATGGAGAATATTTGCAGCAAACTAGAAACAACTTTGCAATTATTGATGGACATATGCGCTTTGTTTGCACCAGTATATATGTTTTATTTGTGACAAATGTGTAAGTGGTATTGTTCAACACCTCCAATATTTGTTATGTAATATTGATTTATGAAAAATGGACACTTGCGCGTACGTTTTTTTCCGGCTGACATACACTTACGAGGTAAGCATCAACAAAGACATATAGTGCTTGTTAGCTCGATCAAACTTTCACTGTTTTACGACTTGACTAGATCTGCAGTATTTTCATTCCACATAACAGTGCTAACTTGCTGTATAAACAAGTCCTACTATTTAATGTACTGAACAAGCGTTAAAAAGCATTCCATCTTTTCAACAATGTGATGTGTGCATTCTATCAACTAGAGCACGCTTGTTTTTAGAGTTAGTGATTCAAAACAAACTTTCAAGTAAATTGAATTATAAGCTTGCTCCTGAAAAATTTCTTCAAATTACTATTAAGTTGCTTTGTTGTGAAAGGCAAGTACAGCACATGTCACCTAATATCACGTCCGTTTATGTCACTTTTCGGTTATTATCATGTTTTTTTGATGCACCGTTTTTCCTGCTATATAATCTATGCAATTCAATTCTTTTATTATCCCCTGATTTTATGTCGATTTCTCTTAATATCACTTTATTTTGGCCACTGTTACAAAAAAAAATACAGGTAAATGGCGGTAATGATTCATGATAAATGCCCCGGGGACCTTCTGTCACACCTGGACGCATCATGTAAACAACGCCGCGGCCTAACCAGGTTATTTTTTACACCTGGCTGACTTTCAAACAATAGGTTACACCTGGCTGACTGTTAAACTATAGGTTGACCTTACATACTTGTATCATATGATATTTGACGAACTTTCTTTATGTTATAGCTCCACTAGCCCTCACCAAGCCGTTCCATTACGAGTGGTGGTTTGCTGTCATCATGGCCTTGTCGGGACTCATCGTCATCCTTCTCATCATTTCTTGTTTATGTCTGGTTGCTCGTAGGGGCAACAAAGGTCAGTATTCCAAAGCCAACTTTTCCCCAGAGACCTCTCTTTGGGTGTAAATGGCTTCCAAATTTTGGCCCATTTCAAATAGGATTTTATAATTCTTTCATATCCTCCCAATTTATTATTTCATTTTACCGTAATAATAGTTGTGTCCCAACTCTTAAAAAGTTGGGGGGGAAATAAGTTGAGCAAAACTTTTGGACAGTTTAAATAATATTAAAGAGACAGTGTTTCTGCTTTTATCAGTGCCTGTCTAAATATTAGCATGTGAAGAGAAAATGGGAATTTTTCTTTTTAAACTATTAAAAGTACATATGTTTTACACAATCATTTTCTCGGGGATTTGTCCAGTTTGCTATAGCCAATTGGTTTATAATCTGTATCATCAATTCCTCACCCCAGACAAGAAGAAAGCTACCCCTACCGTGGCATTGTCCACAACTAACCTTGAATCACTGGAGCCAGAGGATGGTGGGTTCGCAACAATGGAGATGAGACGGTCAAATCGTAGAAGTATGGCTAGCAGCAGAAATGGCAATGCTAGAACAGCGGGAATATATGGAAGGTAAGCATATTAAAAACAGAGAAATACTCCTAGTAATCAAATTTGTATGATTTTGATATACATATTCCATAACCAAGGGTTTTCAAAATATACTTTAGGTTGGTTGGGCTAGTAGAAATGTTCAAATTGAGATGTAGGCAAATACTTTAAATATGAAATTGTACATCCCAGCCAAAACTTGATATGATATTGAAAGTTGGGGTATCATGATACGCCAAGAGTGTATCACGATATATTGCAATACAGAATGAATATATTGCAATACGTATCCCAATATATTGTCATAGGAAAGATGTGCTCAATTTTATAATAAGTTGTTGTCAGAATGTTATCAAACTTAATCATATTTAATATGGATTACATAGATTTAAAGATTTTTGTCAAACCAACCATCGATTACAAAATTTGAACTATTAAAAGCCTGCTTTATGCTTATTGGCATATATCTGTTAGAATTTGTAGTAATTTGCAAAGTTAAAACACCAAGTAGATACATTAAAATATGCTTTTGAAAAATATTGCGATACAACAATATTTCATCTCTGTATTTTGGTACAATACAATACACCTGTGTATTGCGATATACCTGTTTTCCTATATACTGTGACAGCCCTAATTGAAAGTATTTCAATTTCCTTTGTTTTATGAAAAAATTGGTAATTTGCACATGTTATGATAATAATGGTCCAAACATTAATCTCAGGGCCCCTCCCAGACCAAGCCCCGCAAGTGTCACATACTCCGACTACGATGATGGAGCCACAGCCAAAAGTGCTCTGCCTGACGACGACGATGATGATGACATCAGCAGTGTCACCGAAAAACCGTCCAACTATGGGGACTCTTTATCTGTAAGTGTTTACCAAAGCTGAGCATCATCAGTACAAAGGACTCCTGTTACTTATTTTCTGTTGGTGTGACACTTAGTTCAGTCCCCATGTGTATGGCCCATTAGTAATTCAAAAAACATCGATTGATATTCTGTAAACAGTGATAATGGTAACCCACTACATATTCGTCCTCTTGTATTTCAATAACAAAATGTCTTGTGTTAAGATTGCCATCCTGGTGTCTTTGTATGTCAGTTTACTTTAATGATTTGAACATCACTTTGATTTACACTTCAACAGCAGTGTGATAATGTCACAGATTGATAACGATAGCTGTATGTCAGGAGACTGTTACATTTACTGGAAATGGTGTTAACTGTTATTTATTTGTCAAACATCTCTGCATTTGGTCAATTTTGGATTTTCACTGACCTTGATGTTTGTATTTATTTGCAGCCTAGCGATGAAGAAAGTGACGACAGTGACAAGTTACCTCCCCCTCCATCGTCTCCTCCCCCCCCTCCTTTCACAGCCAATCCATACGTCAACGACCTGGCACGACGGTCGTGGCGACAGAACTCGCAGGACCAGCATCAGCAACAGCCCCAGACAAGTCATTATAATGCCTATACTTACACAGACAGTGAGGCGGAGAGTAGTCACTACGCACTCAGTCTGACAGGTGGACAGATGATAATTAACAATGCCGCAGGCTCACGAGCTCCTCTTCCAGGTTTCTCTTCATTTGTATGACATCATTGATTCAGTGTATTTGGAGACTCTTCAAATCCTAAAAGACGCTTTTCAGAATTTCCTCAATTTCTGATACGAGTGCGGAATGTCCTTGAGATCTAACATAAGGATATTTTTGTTAGTGCATATTCGTCCTCTAGACAGAGATAAAAAAAACACCCTGACTTTGCATGAAACATGCATCTTGGTGTAAATGCTAGGATTTCCTTTGAAATAGTGAGAATACTTCTCCACTGTTCAAAGATTGCTATTTCAGTTACTACCAGTGTATACCTGATGTATGTGTTCATTTGGTTTTTTTCAAAGGGTTTGTGATTACCTGAACTTTTGTGCCTTGAATACCGGTATTCCGACAACAAATCATGCAGCAACAGCAGATATGTTTTATAGTTTTATACAGAATATGACTACAAAAGCTAACAATACCAAAAGGGTCATCAAATCATGATATATTTTTTTGTATTCCCTCAACTGTATCATGCACAATCATTTATAAATGAAGTTATGCAAGATTTGTATAATTGTGAAAATATTGCAAGTGGAGACAGCAATACTGAAAATAATACTTCCAAGAAAAATTCAGGATAAATCTGTTGGATTAGTGAGTGTGTACACATGCAAGCTCAAATTCTATATCTCTTCTCCATGCCAAAGGCAATACGCCAAACAATCTCGGAGGAGTAAGCTCTGCATCTCAGAAGTATGTCAAAATGTGTCTGACCTATATCGCAAAGAAAAGACTGAACAAGTGTTGAAACTAACTTGCTGCCAAATGGTGAAGACTGAATTGGCACAAAATGGATTAAGAATGTTTTTTTGTGAAGGATTTTGATCAAGGATATACAAATCTTAATTTTTCAGTTCAGTTTCAAGATTGGAGTAGAAATCGAGCGTTATGCAGTGTTGTTTTAAGATATGAATTTCTTACTGCAAAGTCAGGATGTATGCATTCAAAGGAAATCCAGTCATGGCCTACTGTGATTATTTTTGCACTTATGAATGGTGTAAGTGAAGGATCTCTATGTATAAGACAGCTGTGTGCTAGACATCTACCAGTAGGACAGTCCAGTTAGATGTTTTGTAAGTAGTGAGTGTCAACAGGAGGGATGAGGTGTTTCGTTACTACCAAGTGTCAAGTGGAGGGAAGAGAACATTGGCAGTATTCTCAAAAAGCGAATGCAATCGTTGAACTGATTCCAGACAAATCGCTTAATATGATCGATCACTCAGTCCTGATCTCTGGAGCCCACAGTAATACACTGTAAAAGTGATGTTTCGTTCTGTAAATGATGTTGAGCACGCCAAGACAAAGTCTTGCAATGTAAAGCTATGTTATGCACTTATAAAGAACAATGTGAAATGTAAGGTGTTAGCGTACACTTTAGTGATGTCAACAGGGGTGTACCATTCATCTAGCCCGACACCAAGGACTAGCCGTTACGTCAGGGCTGATTAAAATTGTATATGCAAAGATAGGTAGGGCTAGTAAAAGTTTTCTAAATCAACCTGCCAGAATATTTAGCATACTTTTATATGAAATTGTACATCCCTATGTGATGCAGTGAAAAGTGATGGCAAGTGCTGTATCATGATGTAATACACTGTGATGTATGTGATGTGAGTGTGTAAAAATGTGTACAGAAAATTATAAAATAGAAATATTCCCAGGTGGCCAAATTTTCTAAACCTGTATAGGGTGTGTAAGAGAGTGAGAGAGGTTTAAATGTAGCTAGCTAGACAGTTAGTGCTAGGTAACATTACGTTGCAGACTGACTCTTGTCCACATGTCTCCAGCTAAACCAAGTGATAATGGATAATGGTTCTTTGGAATACTATGATTCTGTTTGATCCTGAACATTCTTAGTCTTGATAACGGCAACCTTTCAAAAGTTGTAAATTTGAGGCCTTTTGTATTCATATCAATATATGACAGTAACACAACGTTACCGAGAATTCATGCTGTTGATAACGATGTGGAAAATTTCAGCCACTGAAGCAGATAATTGAAAATGTGTTATTGGCTGTAAAAGTCACAAACATATCATATAATTATATTATTTGAAGAACTGGTTGAAACATGATTTTTGTTTTGAGGAATTGTAACTAATATGAAGTACAAAGCAATAGAAGTACAGGTATCATGATATCACTTCATTGTATATCTGGGTTCATGACATCACTAAAAACCTGCGAACATTTTTAACAAGGTGCAATAATATCCTTATTTTATGTAGTCACATTAATTCTATTGTAACTGTGTATTAATTATTTGTATAGTGTTATATATATAATTTGTAGAGTATGCCTCTCTGTAAATCGTGTTTAATTTACCAATATATATATAATCTATTTCGGAGGTATACTAACGTAGTGACTTTTACCTCCTTCACAGAAGGGTTTCACACTAACTTTGTTAAGAAATTTATACAGAATTTTTCATGGAACATTTGGACTGTAAACTGGTGATGACATTCGAAAAGTATTACATTACATCAGAATTGCATTGGGTAAAAACGGATATGAAAGTCATAATAATTAGAATTGTCAGATTGGGTATAATTATTATAAAGGAGTGCACATCGCTGTCTCCATTCTGAAAACCAGATGCTTTTTGTTTGCAGATATGTATATTTGCCAACTTCCTTTCCATGTTCCTTTATATAACTAAAAATCCACTCTCCAGTTTCTATTTGTTTTACTTTAGTTTTGTTAAATTTTCAATCATTGCAATCCAGGCACTTTCCAGTATGGATACTGAAGTTAAAATTTGGATATTTCAATGATGCAATATAGGTAATAAATAAATATTTATGAAAATTATGGATATGTCCGGTAGTGACAAAAACAAAATTTTCTCAACCGACCTTTGGAATTTGATTGGCATGGTTACTCAAACTTACATACATTCATTAAGGTTGGCATCTCTAAATCTATTCAAGCATGTTTGTTGATAATAATACTTATTTGTGTTTATTAATACAAATCAACCATTCAACAAAAAAATCCATTGATATGTCAAGTTTTGTATAACATTATCCCAATCATCACTGTATAAAAATGGTGCTTTAATTTCTTCATGATGCAACAGACATATTGATGCATGCAAGTTTTGTCTGGAATTCACTATTTAGATTACACAAATTGTACCATATTTTTACAGTGATAATTGGACAATTCAGAGGATTTTAAATACCATCCCAGCTAATTTGTTTTGACAAAAATAGATTGGTTAATAACTGGAATGAAGCCTTACAGTTGTACGTGTATATACTGTATCAGGTCCTGGTAAAAATCCAATACATAATTTACTTAACCCCCAATAAAGTTAAAGGTTAGTCACTGGTAATGATAGGGTCACTTTTTATGAGTTTGTGGACAAAGCTTGTCAAATTTTGGTTCACAAATGTAATGTCACCAAAATATGAGTTTCTCTGTCAATATAGTTTGACCTTTCCAGTTTTTTGTTTCAAACTTTTGCAGTCAGTACTTGATCATTAAATGAAGTGGCTGTTAGTTTACTGTACTTTTGAAAAATAACAGACTAGTTGTATACCTTTGTGTAATATTCCTTGTGTAAAAAACATCCTTAAATTAAATTATAATCTGCTCATGTTTTTAAACGTAAAACATTCCATAATCCACTAGGTTGTGAGTATACCGTTATATTACTGGGCATTGACTGGATAGTCGGTGAATTTATTTATAAAATAAATTTTAAACGTTTTGATTATCGACAAGACTTTGCAAACCATAGAAACTTGAACAGTTAATGTTTGAAGAGATTCATATGCAGTTTTTAATTATGAAATGATGAATTTATTGAGGTTTACTAAAACAAAAGCGACTTCCAGCTACAGATGAAGATTAACATTGTGAAGTTATGGCAACATATCTAAACATATACATTTTTTTATATTCATAATGTAATTTTTTATTATGTTTTTATTGTTTGGGTATTTTTTTGTCAAGTTGTTGACTGAAAATATTATTTTATGTTATTGCAAATATGTAAATAAAAATATTCTGATTTACTTTATAAAAAATAAAACAAGTTGTAAGGTTTTAGGTCAAAACGCGTTTTGATACATTTTATGAAACATATCAGTTTAATTATTATTCCCACTTGTTTTTATTTTTCCCAAGAGATTTTATTAGGTAACATATATACATCCAAACACAAATTTATATCTGTACATGTGTTAATTCCATTTGTTAAAAGTAGTATACACTTAAGTACATGTCTTACCACAATATCTAAACACAACTTTTAATTTCATGGGGAAAATCTCAGCTCTGGTCAAAGGTTTTCCATAATTTTGTCACTGGGACTTCAAATCAAACTTTTTTCCTCAAGAAATCAGTATTCTGTTCGTAATTAAAATTTCTGAATTTGTAATTGCACCTTGCTTTAATTGCAAATTGAATAATTACATAGAATATTTGTAACAGCTGTTCTGTAAGTGCTTGTATTAACTGTTTAGACTACCTTTGTATAATTGTCAAAAGCTTACTTGTATATGTATGTCCCTAAAGAGGACCCAGTTCTCCAATCTGTCAAATGAGTTTGAGTTTGAGGTTGTGACAGTTTGTGAATTTAAATGTAACAATGTTACAGTAATTATGTCGACATATACCAGGATCCATTTTGGTATCGTTGCATCCTCCACAATGTACACATATTTTTTTTTCTTGTATCTCTATAAATGTGTCTCCAAGACAAATTGTACAGTCTAATTATAAATTGTAAAGTTTAATTATAGTTAAAAATTATAGTGAATTAATGTTTATAGATATTTCATAATTTATCACGTAAGATTGTGGATACATGTGCACATGTACAGGTTGAATGCTGTATTGTAGATACATGTACACATGTACAGGTTGAATGCTGTATTGTCAAGACTGTCTCAGACTTTGTCTAAGTTATATTGGAAGTTACTGGTATTATGTAATGACAATATCACAACAATTCCGAAATATTCACTTTAACAATCAATCCAATATTTTAATGCTGTTCACTTAATTATGACCAGTTTATGTAGAATTTTGAATTCGTATATAAACTTAAAAGAGATGAATGGAATTTTAAACCTTGAAAAGATTTATAAACATACTGTAAATTGTTCCTCTGTGATAAGAAAAGATTGATTTGTCGTGTTTATATTATGGAATAATCTTGACTGGTTACATGTATGTTAGATGTTTATTTATCACGGTTACGGTTAGCTTATCTCGTCATAAATTTAATACTAAAAGTCATGGACATATAGGTTATACAGTAATTATAAGGATGCTCCTGTAGAAATAAGGTTAACATTGGCTTTGAAAGGGTAGCATTATTTATGTTTATTATATACACATATCATTTTATAATAACAGGGATGTGATTTTCCCAATAATCGAAAATAAAACCAATATAAGATTTGTTAAATTGACATTGAGATTATGATATTGCTGTCATTTGTAAAACTAACATTTAAAGTACTGTGTAACATGTAATGAAAACTCTTAATTGCATATGTATGTTTGAAAAGGAGAATACTCTGAATGCTGTTACAAGCTTATGACCATTCCTGCTCAGATAATTGTCCACTTTCGTGTTAAAACTTGTCACAGAGACATGAAACTCCAAATTCTTACAAAACTGCTCGCCAGGACGTTACCTAAATTTGTTTTATAATACTTAACGTTATATTGAAATTACTTCAATTGTTCAAAATGCCATTTCTGCAACATGTTCTTTTAGATTATCTTTTTGTTATAATCCATGTCTCAATATAAAACAATATGGGTTTTGTTTTTCGTGAACGGCTATGATGGGGGGGGGGAAATCAGGATTTCCGAGACATGTGTTTTAAATTTAGTATCAGTTTGCGAATGTAGGTGTTTTACAAGAAACTCGATTATAACCAAAAAAAACCCAAAACATTTGACTGTTCTGTTGAGAATTTGGGGGCAGATTTAACATATGATAGTTTCTGTATCCACGAATTAACACTGCAACCTGTGATAGAGGGTTCTGTTATCACTAAATGAAACCTGGAGTTCAAACTTCAATTTCTATATACATAATTCTCAACCTGTCTTTGTAAAATGAAAGAAAATCATTTATCAGTATCACAAATGAAATCTAAACATTTGTAAAATGCTTTATGAATTGTGACATGAAGAACACTGAAAATCATATTGGTTTTCAGACAGAATTTTGAAAACAAAATCTTCTCAAATTTGAAGTGAAATGTGTAAAAATTTGCACAAATAATTATCAAGGTAAAATTTAAGTCTGAACAGATCAGCTATTTTTATATGGAGAAATGAAGGCCCTATATTGGACCTCAGTCCAACTAACATTGCATTGTGATTGTTGTAAGTATGGATGTGCTGAGTTAACTTGCCTGCACAGTGTGTTCTGCCACCATAAGACATGGATATGTAGCTACTTCTGTATTTCCCCAAGTTACGGTCCAATATAACCCTTGTTGATTCTGTCAGTACCCACTACATTTCTTATAGCTCGTATTTCATTCTGTAACTTACTCTGGTTTCATATTATCATGAAAATTGTGTTGAAAGTATTTTTTTCTGTGTTTATCCAATAGTAACCGTGTTAAATTTAAGTTTACCCCACTGTCCAAGGCAAAAATAGAACGGGTGAAAATTTCCTGTTTTTCTGTTCAGCTGATATGGAATTTTGTGTTCACAATGATGAGGAAATGTTTCCTTTTAAGTTTTATTTATATGTCTAGTATCCTGATGGACTATACACCTGTTCATTGTAAGCAAGGTTAAAGTCTGTCTTTCACTGAGTAGAGGGGAGATAACTCTTTCTTGCTTGAATCTCCTAACATCAAGATTGTGAATATTTTATCTCAAAATGCTTTTTTAATTGTTGATTCAGAATTGTGTGTAATTATTATATTGATCAACTATTATATAAGTGTTACCACTATAAAGTAATTGTTTTAACAGGCTAAATAATGATCTTACCGAAAGTAGCCAGTCGCTACAGGTACTGGTTAGTATACATGTTGTGATGCTATGCTGTCTGAAATAACCGCAGGAACAATGTCGACTTTCGGTAGGAAAATCGGTTGAAAATCAGAAATTATAGATTAGGTATGCCACAAAGTTTTATATGATATATTTATCTACGAAACAGCTATTTAGATCTTAATTGATCTTGAATTGATTATCACATAAAACTCTCATGGTTTCTAACACAGGGACCAGGCACTTTGATAAAAACCTGTAGTATTATAGAGTATCAGGGCCCCTGTGGTTTTAGAAGCACCAATGTGTAGAACGATAGTTGAAGAAGCAACTTGCGGCAAAAGCCAGTATCTGATATGTTTTGGACTTTGTTGGGCATCTATTGTATTGACTATCAAAACTATCAACATATCTTCACCGCGGGCCACATGTCAGATGTGTATCAGAGGGCATAGCATTCACAAGTTGTGGCTGGTATTGCAGTGTACAAGAGTTTTGACTAGTGATCCGCATTTGGCCGCCAGCTAGCACGTGCTCGCGTGCGTATGACTTTTGAGGTCCTATATGTTTTACGGTCAGTATTGAGTACGTGTGTATATGACTGGCGTATGAATCTGAATGTATGTATAGTAGCGCCATACACATGCAGTGAACAAAATGTTTAAACTATGTTATGGAAACAAAAATCCATTCTAAAATAAAATATTTTACAATTAGAATAAGTTTTGTTATCGTTTTTGTCGCAGTACGTTATTTCGGTTTGATATGGTAGGACATTCATGATTGGGGGTGTCTGTTAGAGCTGCTGCCCTACCAACTCTCCAATGGGCCTTTTGCACAAAGCACGGAGTTTGCTCTAAATATCAGTAGCTTTTAGGGCTGAAGGTCGCGATATAATTGCTATAAATAAAGATCAGTACTAGTACTTGAATTATGCTCTGAAATAGCATGCATAACCTCCAGTAAAATGCTTTCTTTGATAAACAGCAGTGATATTACTACGTCATACAGGACTTCATTAGACATAAAGAACATGCATGGGTTTGTTTTTAGATAAAAGTGTCCAAAAGGTCGATGTCACTTGCCACGGATGTGTCATCTGTCGGAGTTATCTCGCCTCTTTCCGTCATCACTGACGGAGTTTAGATATCCACTTTGTCCGTCTGACCTTTCCCAACCCCACCTTATCGATAGATTTAAACAAATGGTTGTTATTGTTAACATATTTGTGATTTTTTATATGTTCTTGCCACTTTCCAGATGCTCCGTCAAATCCATAGGGACCTGAGAATAAAGGTCAAACACTGTTTTACCCACGGGTAATTTATCTTAATGCAATAAAATCCCTACATATTAGGAAATGCCTCGTACTGTGTCTTAATTTTCGTGTACCTGTGCTTTATTTAAAAACAACCTATACTTTAGCTCTGTTACAAATGGAAGCAGACTGTTCGTGGAATAATTTTCCGTTTTGACTATTTAACCATCGATCCATGAAGTACAAATGGAACGGCGTTCGTCAGATGGCACGTGCTTCCTAATGCAATCATGTTTAATTTGTGTATGATACCATATGCACCATTGATGTGTTATTCCTGTTAAATTTGTCGTAACGGTATTAACTTAAAGGACGAAATAATTATCCACACATTCCTCGGGGCCGTAAATGAGAATTTAATTTGTCTGTTTAAAATTCTGTTCCTTCCTCGAGATATCCTCAAATCCATTTACAGTAATTACTTGCAATGAATGCCAACTGTCTACGATAAGAGTTTATTCTTTGGCCTTTTTCGAATGATCTTCAGACATGGACACGAATGTGTTTTTAGTTTTTAATACATTTGTATGTTAACTATCAAACTGCATTGTGGATAGTATTACGTACAGACGTGATCACGGGATAAGTGTAATTCGGGTTGTATTTAGTCCTGCTTTGAATGCAGTTTACTACTGGCCCCGTACTCAT